CAGGAGAACGGGGGGTATAAAAAAGACCCCTTTCAAAAAAAAAAAAAAAAAAAAAAAAAAAAAAAAAGCACGGACAGGTATTATAAAGAGAAGTACCGTATGTCCTATGAGCATCAGTTGTGCTGCCTATCAGTAAATGAGGAGATATAAATGAAGGTTCCCAGCTGGCAAGATGTCACAGCAGGTAAAAATGTTTGCCTCCAGGCCAGACTACCCAGGTTTAAGCCCTGGACCACACATGGTAGAAGGTGAGAACCAACTCCTACAAGTTCTCCTCTGACCTCCACCATAGCACACATGCCCCACCCACAATAAGTGAATATAGAAAACTTTGAAAACAGTAAAGCCTCAGCGAGGTACGCATTTACGCTCAGCAGGTTTTTTTTTTTTCCTGACTCTTTTGGTCAAATATTCATAAGGATGTGGAATGATGAAACAGATAAAGGGTTTATCCAGTAACTGAGGGAATGTAGTCCGTTCCTGCCCTAGAAAACATTTTTAAAATCTCAGGGGAAGGAAAATGACAAATCTCACAACCCAGAGACTTCATCCCAGATGGAAATCCAAGCCAGTTCAGTAGCGCTTGTAGACGCCAGTATGTAAGGAGAGGTGATCAGAAAAAATCCAGGGTGGTCTATTTATAGGATAGTGGATATGTAAATTGTTCATACAACAGGATACTGCAAATCTATGAAAATAAACAGTCAACAGCACTATGAATCTACAAATATAAGATTAAGAAAAGCCAGTAGAGTTGTAGAAGAAATGGACTGAGCACGAGACCGTTTTTATAATGCTAACGGGGTAAAACCAGTGTGTTGTTTAGGAATGTAAACACTGGGAGCAAAGGATAAAGGGAATCCAGGTAGTGACTGATAGTAAATCCAGATGGTGGTTACCTCTGGAGGGGAATGAGCGGGGTGTGAGAATGAGCAAGATGGGGTGTTGGGGACTAAATCATGCTCTTGGCCCTGCCCGATCTATGTGCTGAAGCCCTAGCCCTTAGTACCTGGAGTGTCGCCTATTTGGGGAGAAGGCCTTCAAAGAAGCTTTTGCGGTAAATTGAGGTCATATGGTATGTAGTAACCATTCATCTCTGTGACCAACGTGCCTTAGAGAACAACTTAAGAAGGGAAGGATTTATTGTGGCTCATAGTTTCAGGTTTGGGTCTATCATGGCAGGGTAGGCATGGTGAGGCGGCTCAGCCTATAGCAGGAGGGGCACATGACTGAGGCTGCTCACCTCAAGGAGGACCAGGAAGCAGGACGTGGAGCCAGGATCAGGGGATGGGTGTAAGGGACCCACTTCCACCAGTTGGCCCCATGTCCTAAAAGTACCACAGCATCCTCAAAATGACACCACCAACTGGGAAACAAGTGGGCAGTTCAGATTCAAGTTGTGGCATGAGCTCCTAACCCTCATGAGAAAAGATTAGGGCACAGACGTGCAAAAAACCTTGTGAACACAAAAGGAGGCGGCATGCTGAAAACCAGCAAGTGGGGCCACAGAAGAAAGCAGAACCGCCACAACTTGACCTTGGACTCCTGGCATTGAGAACTCCGAGGAAATAAAGTTCCATTGCGTGAAGCAACGAATTTGGGACATTCAGTTGTCCCAGTCCTACCAAGTTGACACAGGGGTTTCTAGTCTGTATTTTCAACTGGGTGGTAGATACCCTTGCTTATTTTACTGTTACTTTTAAAATCATATTGAAGCATTTCACATATTTGTTTACACCTAGACAGAATTATATTTACCACCTAAATATTTCTGGCATATTGATTAGCATTTAATTGATCAGTTCATCAAATGTAGTCCTTTAGGCATTCAACAAAGAACATAGCTCCATTAAGGTAATCAGTATGTCATTTTAAGAAAAGGAATGCTATGTTTTATGATCTCCAGTGGATAACAATTAAGGAAATGGGTTATGTGTATGATTTTAAACTAAGATGTTTAATGTAATTACTGCGGTGGAATGAAAGCATCTCTATTCTCTTACTCCTCTGCATTTTCCCTGTCCCATCCACATACTGTCCCAGCCAACATACTGTCATACTGTGATGGTTAAGATGGGCAGCATGACAGAATCTGCAATCACTTTGGAGACAGAACCCCTAGTTATAACCAAGAGGGATTATCTAGATTAGCTGAATTGAGGTGGGAATACCTAGCCGGCAGCACCCAGAGACTGAGTAGCAAATAAAAGGAGGAAACAAACTGAGTACTCCTTTCTTTACGATCCTGACTGTGGCCAGCTGACTAGCTCTTAAAGAATGGGGGTGGGGGCTGGAGAGATGACTCAGAGGTTAAGAGCACTGACTGCTCTTGTAGAGGACCCCGGTTCAATTCCCAGCACCTATATGGTGGCTAACAACTGTCTGTTACTACAGTTCCAGGGGAATCCGATGCCCTCTTCTGACCTCCTAGGTATTATACAATATGGGTGAGTACAAGGCACACTTGTGCTCATAAAAATAATAAAGTATTTTTTAAAAAAAGAAGGGGTGTGGTTAATGTGTACTCTCTCAAGGGTACCATCTTAGGGAAGGCACAAATTCAAGGTTTCTGAGGCCAAACAGAGAATGCAGGTGCCTGGCTCTCCACTGATGTGTGGGTAAAGGGATTAGGGGATGGGAGGGGAGGACAAGGGAGGGTATCCGGCTGTGGGTGGATTCCTTCCTTCATTCCCCACCTTTATGTATCCAGCAGTCTCATGTACATGAGAGACAACCACAAACAAACACGCTGATTACAAGTGGAACGATGCTCCTTTTTATGGAGGACAGGACAGAATAGCCAGGGAAAGAGTGAGATGAAGCTTCTAATAGCTGACTTTTAAGCTGGTTCCAGGTAGAGGACTCAAAGGAAAGCACTCCAGTATGTGCAAAGTCTCAGAGGGGCAAGAGAGTGCCTGTGTTTGAGGGGCAGGCAAGGTCAGGGAACTAGAGCCAGGAAGGAAGGCGAGCAGTGTGGGCCTGTGTGGACGGAAGAGGAGGCCAGGCCACAGGAACAGGGCGCTGAGACACCATAGGCTGTCCCATTGGTGCAGCGGAAAGCTGATGCAGGCTGGCTTAAAGCATATCTGGACTGATGAGACTGAAGTTTCAACATATCCTTCCACTGTTGGAGGGTGGTGGAAAATGGATGGGAGGAAATCAAGTAGAGCAGGAGGACTCTGGACTAGACAGGTTCCCCTTAGGGAATCTGAATGTGGATTGAGCTAGAGAGGGGTGGAGGAGGAGTGGAAGGGAGGTGGAGGGGGCGATGGGGGGGCGGGAGGGAGGATAGAGGGGGCCTGGGCTGTGAGAGTGGTACTTCAGAGAGCAGTTCTCTGGGACTGTTGGTTCATCCCATAGAGGCCTCGAGCATGACTTTAGGGCTTCTTCCATGAGCAAGTGGGGAAATAAAGGTGTCCTCTATAGAGTCAGAGAACAGTGAAGACAGCGTGCATGGGCTGTGGTAGGAGTGGAGGGTCCCAAGGGAGTGTGGCCGAAGGAAACAGAGATAAAGTCCACAGGGCTGGGCATAGCATTTTCCAACTCACTTGCCTGGTCTTCTATATTTGGAACCTCATAAAGTCCCTAAGAAGAGAATCAACCAATCAATCAACCAACCAATCAACCAACCAATCAACCAACCAATCAATCAGTCAATCAATCAATCAACCAACCAATCAATCAACCAATCAATCAACCAACCAATCAACCAACCAACCAACCAATCAATCAATCAACCAACCAACCAATCAATCAACCAATCAATCAATCAATAATCAATCAATCAATCTTTCTCTCTCTCCCTTCCTCCCTCCCTCCCTCTCGCATCCCTCCCTCCCCCTCCCAGACTACACCCATGGATCACATTTAGTTATCGGCAAGCCAAAGCCCAGTGCTTTTTGACCAACCCTTGTTTCTCTTTCAGGTGCATCCAGGAGTGCTGAATGTTCGACTGCAACTGGAAAGTCGAGAACTGATCATAAATCTGGAAAGAAATGAGTAAGTCAAGTTTGTTCTTATTTACAGGAGGAAGTTAGCACAGCGTTCACAGAAAAATGCTCAGTAACTTACATCGACATTGAGAGCCACAGAAACTGTAGGTGTGCAATTCTGTCACATTGCAAAGAATTAACCAATGGTAAATAAGGAATTTTGGTGCGCTAAAGGAAGTAGTTTCTTTCCTCCCTCCCTCTCCCC